GACAGTGGGCCTCGCCGCACCACAGTCAAAAGGCTGTCTCTTATACACATCTAGATGTGTATAAGAGACAGCTTTTCCCTTCCTTCATCGTCTCCCTTCCACTGGTCCGATTCCATCTTTGTGCCGGCCATCCCCTCTCCCGATCTTCCCCCCACAAGTCTCTTTTCCTCATCCTCTTCTCTCCTTGCCCTGCCTGTCCCCTCTCTTCCCGTCTTTCTCCACGCCTTTCTCTCCTCCGTTGGGATCCTCTTCGATCTCCTACTCCAAGACTCAACGTGCCCCCTGCGGATCACGTATGTGATTTCCTCTCTTCCTCTGTCTGTGGCTCTTTCTCTCTTCATTGCTGTCTGCTTCTCACCTGCATATCCACATTTACCCTATCCCTCTCGTGATTCAGGCCCTTCGTCATTATCCTTCTCTCTCCTTTCCTTACAGCCTGTTCCCCTTCCTCCGCGCTTACCCCTCTCTTCCTGCCTTCCAATCTCTTCTTCCACACCTTGTCCGCATCCCCCTACACGTCCTGCATTCCTTACCCTGTTGCCTTCACCGTGTCTTCCCTGCACTTCATGGGTTCCTACATCCTTACCCTCTGATTGGCCGGCATTCCGGGCCCCTCCTACTCTCGATCCCACATCCTGATCGGCCCCCTCCCAATCCGCGCTGCCCATCCCCTTCTTCGCAAATTGGGTCCCCGACCAACATCCTCCTTCCATTTACTTTTGGGTCTTCCACGGCGTCTCCCCCCCCCCCCCCACAACCTTGGTAACACCGGCAAACTTACCTTGCATACTCAGCCTATCCCGGTAACTCTCCTTCTGCTTTCTCTGTCGCCGCATCTCATCCTGACCGACCCAGTTCCAACCCTCTCATCCTCAGGATCCCGCATCCTCACCCTCCCCCTTCGTCCATCTCCTCCTGCTAGCCCCTCAAGAATTCGACGGCGACCTTCTCCTCCCTACCTCACCAGGCACTTCACCTCCTCCGTATTCACGGCATGATCCCAGCCTACTCCTTCCGACAGCGGCCGTGCATAAGTTCTGTCCCACTTGCAACATAGCACCCCCACAAAAATTGGAGTTGAAGCCCTCAACGCATTGAAGGACGGATGGAGGGAGAAGGGAAGGAGAGATTTAGGGAGGGGGGAAGGAGGAAGGTACACTTCGGGACGCCGGACGAGCCCACCTATGTCGTTTTGGGGCCGAGTGTGAACGGAACTCTCCACCTCTTAACGCACAACACTGCTGAGAGAGAGAGAGAGAGGGAGGGAGAGAGAAAGGGCGGGAGGGAGGGAGGGAGAGAGAAAGGGCGGGAGGGAGGGAGGGAGAGAAGGTGCACTTAGCCACGCCGCGCGAACTCACCTACTTATTGGGCTGGCTGTGAATGGGAATCTCTGCTTCTTCAGGCACAACACAGCTGGCTGCCGCACACACACAGAGAGAGAGAGAGAGAGAGAGAGAGAGAGAGAGAGAGAGAGAGAGAGAGAGAGAGACTGCACTTCCGGACGCCCGTTTGCACGAAGCTCGTACTCTCCTCCGCCTGCCTATTCCTTTCCCGGCAGCGCCAACTACAACAGAAAATGCCGATAGCGCGGGTACAAGAAATGCTCGTCTAAAATGCCAATGCGCCCTGCTCGGTTGGCCTGCGTTCGAACCCTTATCTGGGGGCCCTTCGCTGGAACCTGTTGCGCCATGCCACTAATGAAATGAAACGTAACCCCCCTCCAACCACCAAATGGGAAAGGGACAAAAGTGCTGGTGGTTCACGGTACGAATCACGGTGGCTCAGACCGTCGACCCTTTGAAAAGGAGAGGAAGAAAACGAAAGAATGAAGGGATAATTTGCGAAATACCCCTATAAGTTGAGATATATGCCAAAATGCCCCTAAATTCGCAGCCAAAAGGCTGCTTTTAGTCCGATTGTCTTTTGTCTTTTTGTTCGCAGCCAGGATGGCTGCGTATACATGGATGTCTTTTGTCGTTTAGCCGCCAGTTGGACAGTGGGCCTCGCCGCACCACAGTCAAAAGGCGAAAAAACTCTACGGCTGTCAGAACAAATTTGACAGCCTCCATTCGACACTTTGCCCCCCTTTAGCCACACAGCACTGTAGAGTGCACGCACTTGTGAATGCAAGATGGAAACCATGTATACACAGCCATCCTGGCTGCGAACAAAAAGACAAAAGACAATAGGACTCAAAGCAGCCTTTTGGCGGCGAATTTAGGGGCATTTTGGCATATATCTCAACTTATAGGGGTATTTCGCAAATTATCCCTTCATTCTTTCGTTTTCTTCCTCTCCTTTTCAAAGGGTTGTGAATGCAAGATGGAAAGAGATGAACGCGCCAGAGGAAGAGAAGTCGACGGCGCAGCCGAGGAGTGTCGAAAGCATGGGAGTAGCAGGCTGGGGATTCAACAACTTTTGACAGGAACTGTGGAGAAGCATGCTCTGACAACTGGAGAATTTTTTTCCCGTCTCCGTCTTCGACAGCCTGTGTGGCGAAGAGAAACTGTCAAAAATTGCATTTTCGACAGTGGTGCGGCGAGGCCCAGTGTAAGTGGGTTTAGAGGGCGTCCTTATGCATATAATAAGGTTGCGGTCGCCAACCAGGCACCGACCGGTCGTTTTGTGAGGGAACGCGGCGGCGGTTTTGTGAGGGAACGCGGCGGCGGTCGGGGGAGATGGTGTTGCCGTAGTCGGGTGGAGTGTGGGCAGCTGGAGGTCGTAGCTCTGCTTTCCAGTATAGGAAACTTTTTTATTATCTGACGGTTGAGTCTCCACCAAGAAAGACGGTATCAGTTTTTTTTTCTTATTTTTCGTGTGGTCGGTGTTGTATCTTACCTATACAGTTGGACAGGTACGCTGGCCATTTTTGCCTTGGAGAAAGCTTAGTTTTTTTTTTTTTTTGGTTGGTACTACTGGCTCAATGTTTGCAAATGTATCTTACCATATAGTTGGAGAGATACGGTGGCCATTTTTGTCTTGGAGATTTGGGTCCACGTCCCACTGAGGGCATGTCTGACGGGATTCCGCGTCCTGCTGTGATGCCCAACCTCACGCCCAGCGCGACTTCCTGATCGGACTGGAATGTGGGCTTGGAAGTGCGAAAAGGGGTGTGCCAAGGATTTTTGGGAAAGTGGGGGTGGAGTCCCAGGTCAAAACTGAGATCTCCTGTGGCAGAGCTTTTTAGGGGCATGAGTGCAATTTGGCAGAAGGGGCGGACCTCTTCGGGTCATAAG